TTGTGGGCTGGGATTTCAGTATAGTGCATTAAGCTGGTAATTGTGATGTGGGTACCCAATATTGGAGCACAATTTCAATTCCATTCACACACCTGGGAAAGCAGAGGACAGTGGCTCAAACACTTGGGCCCCTGCTACCCATGTGGGGGATGCAGATGGAGCTCTAAGCTCAAGCCTAGGCCTGGCACAACTCTGGCCATTTGAAGCATTTGGGGAGTGAACCAACAGATGGAAGATAACTCTCCATCTCTCTCTCTCTCTGTCTCTCTCTCTCTCTCCTTATCTATCTCTCCACACCTCTGGTATACATGTGTGTGTGTGTGTGTGTGTATGGTACCACTGTTTCACTATCTTTAAAAATGAATAATCATAATAATAAATATTTGAAACAAAATAAGAGATATTAATTTTGCTGTTTTCTGTTTAATTTTCATGTTTCATTTTTAAATTCAGCAACTTTTAAAGTGTCCATTTATATTAATATTTGCATGTCATATATGCTGAAACTGTGTTGTCTTGTCTCTCTGCAGGTGGAATGCCATCCTTATCTCAACCAGAGCAAGCTGTTGGAATACTGCAAGTCCAAAGACATTGTTCTGGTTGCTTATAGTGCTCTGGGATCACATCGAGAACCAAGATGGTAAAAGTAAAATGAAAGCCCACCAAACACTTTTTTGAGGAAATATTTTTGGTTGGAAACTACTCAGTTTTATAGTCAAGTAGCTCAGGAGGAGGGGAGAATGTGCGGATGATGTTAATGCTGCTGGACTAAGGAGCACATCTGAGAAGCACTGGTCTAGAGTGTGTCCCTTAGTCAGTTTTGGAAGCCTCCCAAGAACTGCATACTTAGTCTTAGGAGTTCATTTTTCTGCCTTGCCTTCCAGGGTGGACCAGAGCACCCCAGCTGTCTTGGAAAATCCAGTCATCTGTGCCCTGGCAAAAAAGCACAAGCGAAGTCCAGCCCTGATTGCCCTTCGCTACCAGCTGCAGCGTGGGGTTGTGGTCCTGGCCAAGAGTTTCACTGAGAAGCGAATCAAAGAAAATTTTCAGGTGATGAGCATGTGGGGCTGGAGGTGTCTAGGACCCACATATGTGCTCCTTTGCAAGATGTCAAGCCACTCAGGGGTCATGTCTTTTTTTTTCTGTCTTTGCTCACACATTTAAGATTTGTCTAAATCACTGAGGCATAATAGCTAGACAGAATTATGACTCAACAGAAAACAGAGAATCGTGTTTCAACATTAAATTGCGAATATAATCCGTAGCTTTCTGCAAGTGACAACCTTTGTTCATTTCCTGCAATGGGGAATTAGATAAGGTGATTTTTGATAATAAACTGTTATCACTGTATTTTGTGCTGCTGAGAAAATTCATGTATTTCAACACTCAAATTTTTTAACCATTGATTTTCATAACTTTTTAAATCACGTATTCATTTTTTTTTTTTTTTTGACAGGCAGAGTGGACAGTGAGAGAGAGAAAGACAGAGAGAAAGTTCTTCCTTTTGCCCTTGGTTCACCCTCCAATGGCCGCCGCGGCCGGCGCGCTACAGCCGGTGCATCGCGCTGATCCGAAGCCAGGAGCCAGGTGCTTCTCCTGGTCTCCCATGCGGGTGCAGGGCCCAAGGACTTGGGCCACCCTCCACTGCACTCTCGGGCCATAGCAGAGAGCTGGCCTGGAAGAGGGGCAACTGGGACAGAATCCGGCGCCCCGACTGGGACTAGAACCTGGTGCGCCGGCGCCGCAAGGCGGAGGATTAGCCTAGTGAGCCGCGGCGCCGGCCACGTATTCATTTTTTGCCATTTAAATAGATTGACTGTGTCTGTATTCTAAGAAAACATTATTAATCATTAGATTTTGTAGCTGTGAAACAAAGCACCTTCCAGATAGAAGATTATATGAGGCTGGAGCCACGGCTCACTAGGCTAATCCTCTGACTGCAGCGCAGGCACCCCGGGTTCTAGTCCCAGCTGTGGCGCCAGATTCTGTCCCAGTTGCTCCTCTTCCAGTCCAACTTTCTGCTGTGGCCCGGGAAGGCAGTGGAGGATGTCCCAAGTGCTTGGGCCCTGCACTTGCATAGGAGACCAGGAGGAAGCACCTGGCTCCTGGCTTTGGACTGGCACAGCACGCCTACCGTAGTGGGCACCTGGGTGATGAACCACTGGAAAAAAGAAGACCTTTCTCTCTGTCTCTCTCTCTCACTGTCTAACTCTGTCTGTCAAAAAAAAAAAGAAGAAGAAGAAGAAGATTATATGAAAGGAACTTTTTAAAAAGGTTTACTTATTTATTCGAAAGTCAGTGTCACAGAAAAAGAAGGAGAGACAAGGAGAGAAAGATCTTCCATCTGCTTCTTCAGGGTCTCCCACATAAGTGCCAGGGCCCAAGGAGTTGGGCCATCCTCTGCTGCTTTCCCAGGCCATCAGCCAGAGTGCTGGATTGGAACTGGAAAAGCCAGGACTTGAACTGGTGCCTATATGGGATGCCAGCATGGCAGGACACAGTTTATCCTGCTGCACCACAGTGCTGGCTCTGAGAACTTTTTTCTCAACTATATGGTTTGGAAATTAGTCTAAGCTCAGACTCAACTCATCTAAGTTGGGTTCTATGTTGGGTTCTCTCAGGAACTTGCAATCAACTCTCTCACACAGTTATAAATAGGAGCACTCTCTTCTAGGATTTGACTGAACATTGTCTGGCGTGGCTCAGCCATCCAACAGGCACTTTTTCATTCTCCAGCCAACCATGTAAAGGGAATAAGTTTATACCTGCAAAGCATTCTCAGAACTGGCAAGCTATCGCTTCTGGCGAGTTCTGCTGACCACTGAACAGGCCAGGCCACACTGAAATCGTAGAGTACTGGATATTGGATCCAAAGGGCATGGTCCCTAGCACAAGGAAGATTTGCAGGATATTTCTCTAACTCATCTACCACATTTATGTATTCTGGACACTATTTTTAGGTTGTGATACATTTGTTGAAGTATGTTCTCACAGTTTATACCAGTGTTTTGGTTCTCTTCTTGGTGTATTTTCATGATCAAAATTTCCTACTCTTCACATCCTTAAATCTTCTGCATTTGTTTGTGGCTGATGTGTGTCATATCTTTTACTATATTGAGCACATGACAATTTCTACTACATTATCTTTGAAAGTGTCCTTCTAAATTTGGTCTTTAATTCAACTGACATATTTTTCAATTCATATTTTTCAATGCTATGTGAAACATCTTTAAAAAGCCACAAAGATACATTTATAGTTTAAAAATGAAATCACAGAGAAGATTTGGGGACACTGCTAAGGATGTCTGCAGCCCATATTGCAGTGCCTGGGTTTGAACCTCATTGTGCTGTAGATCTAGTTTCTTGCTAATGCACACCTAGAGAAGCAACAATTTATGACCCAACTGCTTTGATCTCTGCTACTCTTGTGAGAGATTCAGACTGAGGTTCCTGGCTCATGGCTTCTGCCTGCCCTCACACTGATTTTGCATACATTTGGCACATATACTGGCAGGTGGGAGATCTATGTCTTTCTGTCTCTGAATTTCTCTCTGCCACTCCATAATATCCAACTTTGACACATCAAAGTCTGTCTGCCCCACATACACAAAGTACATTTCTGCCTTCATTCTTCCCTTCAATGGATTCTTGTCTATTCTTTACAGAAATGTCTGTTATATAAGAGTTTATGGTTTTATAACTTTTCAACTTCCACATAAACTACATCTTTACGTCGTTGCATGATATTGCATTGAAACTTTCCATTACTTTTGGAAGCTTTTTCATTACTTTTTTCTTTTATCAAATTGTCATATTTTCTTTTGTGATTTCTTTCCTTTCTTCCTTCATTTTTTCTTCTTTCTTGTTAAGGTGGGGGCAGGAGAGGAAGAGCGAGAGGGAGAGGGAGAGGGAGAGGGAGAGGGAAGAGAGGAAGGAGAGAGAGAGAGATTTCCATCCACCATTCTATTTCCCAAAGGTCCACAACAACTAGAAGAGGCAAGGCCACAGTCTGAGTCCTGAACTCAAATCAGGGTCTGTTATGTGGGTGGCAAGGTCTCAAGTACTCAAGCCAGCACCTGATACCTTCCAGGGTGCACAGTGACAGGAAGCAGGAATCTGAAGTGGAGCCAGGACAGGAATCCATTCTAATAAAAGACATAGATGTCCCAAGTGGCTTGTAAACTCCATAACCAAATGTCTGCCCTGAGTAGTAAATTTGTAACAATGTTAAGTTTTCCTATCCACATTTTTCAAGCATTAACAAATTTTATACCTTTTTTTCAATAAGGCATTTGTATATATTGATCCACAGAAACCTGATAATTTTTATAGTGTAGTTTGTAACTTCCTGTTTTGAGAATTTTCAAATGTACAGAAAATTTCTAAAAATAAGGCATTGTAAACCTTTTCCTAGATTCATCAATTATGAAATCCTAGACTTTCAAAAATTTTTTCTCATTATCATTGAGTATTGCCATTTATCTATGGATAGTTCATATGTTCCAAATAGTATTTGTTTTTTCTTTTTTGCTATTTAAAGTTCCTAATATTAATGAATGGTATCCACTTTAAGTAAGTTCCTGTGTCCTTTGTACATAATATCATTATGTTTGGACAATTGCTGTTTCAAATTATGTTGGAAAAAAAACCTTTTTTGTCATGTTAACTCTTCATTATTGGAATATAAAAATCTGACTGTATCAAGAAACTTTCCTAAATTGTCTTATATATTTTACATTCTTCTGAATCTCGTTTGTACATGACCTTATAGACTTTAAATAATTTCAGCTTTGATTGTTCTTTGATACCTCCTTTTATCTGTAGTGTCAAGTAGCTTGAGTGTATCTTAACTGGTAATGCATTTCTATCATGTTTCACCTAGTGTTTTTTCATGGTCTGAGTTGCTTTTTATATATGTCAAAACATTTGAAAACTCTTGATGCTTTCCAGACTGACAAAGAAGCAGATAAATACAACAAAATTTTCTACTTTTCTAATAGGTTTTTGAATTCCAGTTGTCATCCGAGGACATGAAGGCCCTGGATGGCCTCAACCAAAATGTTCGGTACCTTACAAGCAATTTGTAAGTCACATTGCTAAATGCACTGCCTCCATTTGTTTTCTGAGGAGGAATGTAGGATGGGTATTAGCCTCTATTCTCCATATATCCATGGACATGAAAAGTGGGTTCACCAATGTAGCCTTACTAAATATTTCCAAAATGATGTTTTCTTCCTCTTCTCCCAGACTTGCTCAATTGGAGCATTTCCAATAATGAGAATGTCTAATGTAGAAGTCCTTTTTCTGATCAGTATTTTGTTTATTTCATAATCATTTATTTCATAATCCATTAAGATATCTTGCCTTCCAATGGAATATATAATTATAGTAATAGACTCTGGAATATATTCATCTCTGAGTCTGGAAAATATTCATCTCTGAGTGCAAATTGAATCCTCATTTTTATGATTGATACATATTTGCTGTGTTTTTTGTTCAAAATAGTATTGAAAGTTTGAGAGTTTGGAGAAATGCAGTATGAACTATACAACAGTGAATTGTCTTTTATTTATATTAGTAGGTTTATTTGACATCACTTTCTTCCTGGAAATTGTGCACTTAAGTACATAAAAATTAAATAAAGACGTTTAACCTACATTTTAAAACAAACCAATACTAATTTCAGAGGTCCTGAAAGTTTACTAATAGAACTGTTTTCTTGGGAAATAAGACAGAGCAGTGTTACCATGATAAAGTAAAATTTATTTTCCTAATGAATTTAGATACATCAGTACTAATGGAATCATATGGGGAAAATCCACTTTATTAATACTCAAATGACTTTGGGTTATGCCAAAAAAAAAATGCCAAATGGTCCTTAAGTACCAGTGATATTCATTTTAAGTATATTCCTGGAGTAGACCAAAATAAGTCTTTTTTGGGCTGGGACAGTACTTTACTTCCTAAAGTAACTTCTTAAGTTTTAGAATAACCCTGGTTATAATCTTGGTCTATAATGCACAAGTATCTAACTAATAATAAGTAAATAATATAATATATGTGAAACTATTTAAAGAAGTATAAAGATTTCAATTTGGGACATCCAAAGATTTGAATGTGATGAAATATATTTACATAAAACTATGCTTATAAATATGTCGGATTTTAAAACTGGAAAGAGAGCAAACTTATTCACTTTGATTCTAGTACTAGTGACACACAAATCACTTCTTCAGTCTTCTAGAAATGTGGTCACTGAGTTTAGATTCTACATTTTTCTCATTTTAGTGCTGCTGGACATCCAGAGTTCCCATTTTCTGATGAATATTAACACAGAGGCCTTTCCCATGTTTCAACCACGAGCTCCTGTAAGTGGATCGTGATGCCGGTGACACATCAGATGCTGGTGAATGGGCGCGTCTCTCCTGATTGATCTTTACGGCTTAGCAATCTACACTCAGCTAGAGCTTTACCTGCAGAAAATAAATCATGTCAGTGAAATTGTGTCCTTCAGTGAAAAATTAAATAATACTGATTTATTAAAGATACTGCTGACCTTATTTATTACCTATATGCCTTATTTCTGACTCCTGAGTCCCTCTAACTTATTTGAGTGGGAATGTGGATGTTTGTGGTGAGAGAGGAGAGCAACCAGTCCATAGATGTGTCTGGGAATGCGGTGGGGAAAGTTGTCTGTCAGTAGAGCACTTGGCAGACGTTTCTGTCATGTTTCCCAGTGCTTCCCTGTACAGAGCCCAGAAGGAGAGGCAATACTGAAGAACAATCAATAGTTGAGAGGCTCTCTTCCAGCAGATTACAGATCAGCTCTGCAGCTACTCGGGTATTTTGTTATCCTTGGGGGAGGTTTATTCACAAGGATGGAAGGTTGACAGGATTCAACTAGAAAGAGTGATCAGGTATCTGATATGTGGGGGACTGACGAAAAGGAATTGAACACCTCATCTTGGGAACATTGGCCACAGTCTTTTTTTTTTTTAAAGATATATTTTATTTATTTGAAAGACAGAGTTACAGAGAGAGGTAGAGATAGAGAGAGGGTTCTTCCATCCACTGGTTCACTCCCCAGATTGCTACAACGGCTGGAGCTGACCTGATCCGAAGCCAGGTGGCAGGATCCAGGAGCCAGGAGCTTCTTCCAGATCTCCCATGTGGATGCAGGGGCCCCAGGGCTTAGGCCGTCCTCTACTGCTTTCCCAGGCCATAGCAGAGAGCTGGATCAGAAGTGGAGCAGCCGGGACTAGAACCGGCGCCCATATGGTATGCCAGTGCATCAGGCCAGGGCTTTAACCTGCTGCGCCACAGTGCCAGCCCTGGCCACAGTCTTTTGATAATAATCTGAGGATAAAAGGTAACTTTCCACATATTTTATCAGAGTCAAGACTGAGGCTCAGGCATTCACTTTTAAGAGTTTCCTGGGAGAAATACTGAAATTCCTGGGGATGTAGTGGGATAGAATATCAAAGAAACAATCTAATGATAAAATACCCTTGCCTATCAACTCCATATTTCTCAAATATTTTTAAGATTTAAAATAATTTGAGACCATTGTGGCCATTTGGGGAATGAACCACTGGGCGGAAGACTTCTGTCTCTTTTTCTCTCTCTGTGACTCTGCCTTTCAAATAATAAAATAAATCTTCATAAAGTGTTCATTTTTTGAACCATCTTTTACAAAAGGTGTAGAATTATTGTGATTAACTGTTAATGGCACAAATATAATCAGAATGTTACATAGAAAACACAAACTCAATTCATAGAATGTTCTTCAAAGGCTGAGACATGTCATGGGCTGCTGGCCCAGGTGCTCAGAGACTGCTGGTATTGCATGACCTGGACACACCTTCGAATATTTTAATCTTCTGCTCTTTTGATTCTTGTGCTTAACTTTGTCCTGTCAAAGAGGGTGTCTGATGCCATGTCCTTTAGCCAAGACCTATGCTAACAAAAGTGCAACTCATATTCTTTGTGAAACAAGAGGTTTAGAGGGTTTGTGGGGATTGAGAGATATTATATTAAGATCACTGACGTCATACATAAGAGTGTCAATTGTTCAATCAACAACAGGAGTCACTGTGCACTTGTTCTCCATGTGGAACCTCTGTCCTTAATCTCTTTTACTATGAGAATTAATGGTAAAACTAGTCTTCAAACAGTACTTTATACTTTGTGTGTGTCTGTGTGGGTGCAAACTATTGTTGAAATTTTACTTAGTATAGAGTTGATCTTCTGTATATAAAGATAATTAAAAATGAATCTTAATGAAGAACTGGATGGGAGGAGGAGTAGGAGGTGGGATGGTCTTGGGGTGGAAGGGCGGGTATGGGGGAAAGAACCACTATAATCTAAAAGTTGTACTTACAAAATTTATATTTATTAAATAAAAGCTTTCTATAAAAAACTCACAGTTAATGTCCACCAAAAGAAAAAAGAAAAAAAAAGAATAGGGCATGTTGGAGACTGGCTGTGTGGCATAGTTTTGATCTACAGGATAAAATCATTTTGAATACATATTACACAATAATGCTAATATATTTATACTACAAACCTTATACTAAAAGTGCTTAATAAGGTAAATTGCGTGTTGTGTGCATAAACTTATGCCTGGATTAAAATTACTCAAATATTTTAATAGCGGCTGCAAATGGGATTATTTTCAAATAACTCATTATTAGTTAATAGGAATACTACTGACTTTTGTGTTTTAGTTTTAGTTTTTGCAACTCTATTGCATTTCCTTGTTATACAGTGTTTATTGGAGTCTCTGAAGTTTTATACTTATCATACCATTTTTGGAGACAATTTGAATTCCAATTTCAATGCTTTTTATTTCTTTCTCTTATTTTCTCTGAGTATGGCTTCCAGCACTGTGTTGAATATAATTGGTGAGAATAGGGGCTTGAGCCATGGCAAACTAGGTTAATCCTCCGCCTGCAGCACAGGCATCCCATATGGGTGCCAGTTCTAGTCCCGGTTGCTCCTCTTCCAGTCCAGCTCTCTGCTGTAGCCTGGGAAAGCAGTGGAGGATGGCCCAAGTGCTTAGGACCCTGCACCTGCATGGGAGATTGGGAGGAGGCACCTGGCTCCTGGCTTCGGATTGATGCAGCTCCGACCCTTGCAGCCACTTGGGGAGTGAGCCGACGGAGGGAGGACCTTTCTCTCTCTCTCTGTAACTCTGCCTGTCAAATAAATAAAGATCTTTAAAAAAATAATTGGTGAGAATAGGTATCCTTGTCTTTCTCCTGAACTTGGAAATCTTCCAATATGTCAAAATTATTTATTTTTTTTTTCAAATATATTGTTGCTGTGGTACAGTAGATTTTTGTCTTCACCTAATCCACTGAACATTTTTTTCCATTGAGGATGTTGAGGTTTTTTTCAAATGTGTCTCTCTATTTGGGTAGATGACCATATCACTTGTCTTCATCCTGTTTATGTGGTATATCACACATTTTGGTCTCCGTTTATTGAACAATATTTGCATCCTGGGGATAAATCCCACTTGATCACAAAGACGGATCCTTCTGATTGCTGAGGAATTGTGTTTGCCAGTATTGATTGAAGGTTTTCATAACTATCTTCATCAGGAATGTTGGGCTCTATTTTTTTTCCTGTAGGATCCTTATCTGGATTTACTATTAGAAAAATGCTCACCATGTAAAATGAGTTTGGAAGTATTATTTCTCATTCATTCTGAAAAAGTTTGATACAGATTGGCATCATATATCCTTTAAATGTGTGGAAGACTTCCCACTGTTACCTCCAATCTGCCCATGCTCTCCCTTCTCCTTCCTGTTATATTCTTTCTTTTAATTTGTACAATGACATGCTTTTAGTTTATTTTATAATCATAGGATCAGCCTCCTACTAAATATTTGTTCAACAAATAATAAGCAGATCACTATGCTCCTAAATCTGCTTATATAAAATACATGAAATATATAAATGTATAAATAAAAATGTGTGGTAGACCATTTAAGAGGCATTCAAGTTCTTGTAAGCAATTGTAATGAATGTGGAGTAGATATTCAGGGAAATTTGGTCAGTAAATGGTTTCTTTGAATTCTTGGCCCACTGGAATCCCCTGGATCTCATGAACATTCTATGTTTGACCCTAATCAGGCTCATGGATAAAATACTAGCAAAATTTTCATTTGATCAACAGGACATATTATCAAAAGAGTATTTAAAGAGCTGGCACTCTGGCCTAATACCCTATGCCTATGCCTGTGGTGTCAACATCCTATATGGGCACTGAATCGTGTTCCAGCTGCTCAGCTTCCAATCCAGCTCTCTGTTTTTGGACTGGGGAAGCAGCAGAAGATGGCCCAAGTGCTTGATCCCCTGCACTCACGGAGATGTGGAAAGGAAATTCCTGCCTCCTGACTTCAGATAGGCCCAGCTCTAGCCTTTGTGGCCAACTGAGGAGTGAACCTGCAGATGGAAGACCTTTCCCTCTGCCTCTCCCTCTCTCTGTTTGGAACTCCGCCTCTCAAATAAAAAAATATTTTTAAAAAAAGACTATATATCTATATATACTCATTTATATTGTATGTCCCTACTCAGATTCAGTAACCTGAGAGCATCCAGAAAGAGTAGGGTTTTGCTTATTGTCAATTGTTTTCAACAAGGGGGTTTTGTGTCTACAAGCTTGTTTTTGTTTTAATTCTCTCTCTCTTCTAAAAATTTCTTCTCTGAATTGAGCCCTCTGTATTTTGGAAACAATCTGAAAGGTTTGAAAGTGTTACTATGAACATCTCCAAGGCCACAGTTTCCCTCCATGCAAAAGGAAGACACAAAAGTCAAGAAAATGTATTGAAATGCTGAGATAAGGGAAAGATGAAAGAAATTATAGTACCAAATCTCATGTACTGAAACAAAAATATTATTTAATTTTTTACTACTGTAAGCCTCCCTTCAACCTCCTAAGAAAAAATCTTAATTCAACTGTATGTATAAAGGAGGGTCATGTTTACCTTAGTGAAATAGCTTTGATCACACACACTTCTTAAGTTTTTCAGGGAACTTTCCAAGGCTCATCTGATCAACTGTTATCTGTGAAAAGTGAAGCAGAGCTGTCTATATTAAAGAATTAAATTGGGGATTAGCACTTGAGCCAACTTTGGTGGTTTTCTCCACTTATCATAGAGATATTTTTTTCTAAATGTTGGAAACTGATGACCATAGGTAAAAAAAATACCACCCTCCTTCTGATTTTCTTTTGAGCTGACCTATCCGTATGTAATAGTCACCCCTTGTCCATGGGAGGCATGATATCACTAGACCTCAAATGAATGACTCAATCCACGCATAATACCAAATCCCATGTACACAGTGTCTTCCATATGTACTGTACTAGTTGTATTTTCATCACTTTAATTAAAATATATAAGGGGTGCTAAATTGAGAGAAGAATATTTATTTTGCCTTACAGTTTGGAGTCACAGTCCAAGATTGGGTAGCCCTATTTCTTGGATTTTTATGGCAGCATATGTTTAGAGAGAGGATAACATGACAATGCAGGCAGCAGAATGAGAGGGAA